TTGCTAAATTTGAGAGCGAGACCAAACATAGACACGGAGTCACACAGACAGACGCACAAGCAGAGAGAGACTCACACAGAGACACACAGAGAGAGACACAGAGAGACACACAGAGAGAGACACACACAGAGACACACAAGCAGAGAGAGAAACACACAGAGACACACAGAGAGAGACACACAGAGAGACACACAAGCAGAGAGAGACTCACACAGAGACAAACAGAGAGAGACACACACATAGAGTTCTTAATTGTTGTTGTTTTTTTTTTAATTCGCAGCAGATTAAGAGTCAAATGTCTCAGGGAGACAGTTGATTGGAAACACTTGCACGGCAATTCTCTTCGTATGTACGCCAACCGTGTGTTGAACCGCTTTCCCACCGGACGTAGCCAACCATGTGTTGCTACTGCATGGTGGCAGCAGCAAAACATTCAGGGGCCAAGTAAGAATGTCGAGGTCTGCTCGATGCGGCGAGCGGTCTTCAGCAGAGAGTATTTCGTGTAGTTTGGCTATCCCTCCTCCGTCCCCACACCTCCGATTAGCGCGGCTGGCTACATACGTTCAAGGACCTACAGACTAAAGTGGTTTGCTATATTGTTTAAACGTCGTACTCTGGAGGGAGAGCCTAGTGCCGATTTGCAGGAATTGGAGTGGGCTCCATGAGCCCGCGATCCAAGGTGGCAGATGTAAGGGTGGCAGGATGGTGTGAAACCACCGCGTGCCTCCTGTGCAGTTGCTTCGCGATAGGGGGTGACAAAAACATCCCCCGTTTTTTAAAACATTCACCATCATTTTTACGCCGATTGCATCCGGCTCCACCAAAACTACTTCCCGTTTGCATCCTTAAAACCTTACCAATTCTCCCCCTTCCCCCTTCCTAACCTCGCCAGCCCTCCCAATCCCTGTCATCAATCTCCCTCGCCATCCTTCCCAAATCTCTCACCTCCAAACTCCACATGATCCGGCGGGCCGCTGCCAGGCATCTCGCTCCGTACGAGACTAATTGTTTTTGCGAGGCCAAGATGAACATTTGACATTTTCCCTGGCTAAACAGTGCAAATTGTATTCCTGATCCATTTGGGCTACAAGTCTAAGGTAAAAATACTAAACTTTTTGTTATATTTTACCAGGTAATGCCCCACTGATCAACTTACCTCTTTTTCAGAAGCGATCTAGCCACAAATGATAGCTTAACGAAGTGGCTTATGTGTACATTTATAGCAGCCATATGCTCTAAACGCACGTTGATTCTAAAAGTGGAGGGAAAAACCGGAGGACCCGGAGAAAAATCCACTAAACCACGGGGAGAGAGAGATATAGAGACATGCACACTCCAAATATACAGCAGGTGTCAAGGGTCGGGATCGAACCCACGACCTCTTGCATACCAGGCAAGGTAGTTAACATCTCCTAGCCACCGCAGCATCCTATTAGTCGATTCACAAACACGGTGCCGAAATGTTACCTACCTCGCCTGGTATACAGGAGGTCGTGGGTTTGATCCCGATCCTGACGCCTGCTTTACATTTGGAGTTTGCGTAATCTCCCTACGGTCGCGTGGAATTCTTCTCCACGTCTTGAACCACTTTGTTGAGCGATCATTTGTGACAGCCAGCTCGCTTCTGCCAAAGAGCTATGTAGGCTCAGTGGGTCCTCACCTGGCAAAATAAAAATTAGTTTACGTTCTTTTTTAACTTTTACATAGTTTACAGAAGACGTGAGCAACCTCGCATTTCGTTTGGCCGGACCGCAGCTCGACGCTCCCGCAACCCCTCCAGCGGAGCGCCGCTTGGGTGTTGGTGTCGCTTCGCTGGGAGGCGTCCTGATAAAAAAAAACAGACAACAGTTTAACACGTAGCAGTAGTAGTGAGTGAGGAGTCCTCCGCGACCACCTTTGTCCATAGTAGAGGTTTTGTGGGTTAGATGACATAAAAAAATATAAGTGTGTCGTTAAGCCCACGACCGTCCCGACAGCCAATTAGTAAGGTTTGTCACGGAAACAAAATATTGTATTCTTTCCAGGGCGCTTTACAATGCAGTTAGAATGTTGTTGCATGCATTAACCCCCGCCCTCTCGCCTTCGCGCCTGATTGGCTCACGAGTGGTGACGTCACATTCACCCCGCCCTCTATTTAAGACCGAAACAGGAGGGTTTCTCCACAACTCCGGCTGTCCCCTGATGATGCTGGTTGTTGCTGTTGCTGTTGTTGTAATTACCGGCGAAACGTTACGGCACTCGATTTTGTAAACGTTGCCGTGGGTTTACTCTCCAACACGCAACCGGTGAGTGCCGAACTGGTAACGAATCGGCACGTTCTCTTTTTACGTTACAAACCTCTTACTAATTGGCCGTGTCGGGTGGTGACTGGTTTTAACCCCCCAACCCCCCCCCCCCCGGCATGCGTTACGTGGAGTGCTAAGGGCCCCCCCGCAGCACGCACATTCCTCCGGAGCGAGTTCGCCGCCCTGTTCCAGGGAAGGAGCCAGTTGGGGGCCTGCCTGACGGGCCTGTCGAGTTGATTTGCGCCTACCTCTTCCAACCGCGCGTTTTTTTGTTGTCGCTTTGCCCCCCTCGCGCAACGAGCCGCGGAAATGTTCTGGAGCCGTTTTTCCTCCTCCCGCGAGTTCGGTCGTCCGCCAACCCTCGCTAACCTCCGCACGGCCGGCAGAGCTGGACTGCCGGGCCACGTGCGTAGCCACCGCTGCCCGGCGAAATCACGGCGGTGACCGTAGAACTTGTCTTGAAATCAAGCCGACTGACCTCGTCCCGCTCGACGTAATTCACCTCTGCGTGATTTGTTACGTTTATTTAATTTAATGGCTCAGCTTAACTATAGCCGGCTTCGCCCGGGACTTGGATTCACCACGCCCGGCCGCCTTTGTCCCCCCAGTGGCGATGTTCACACAGCAGACCAGTTACTCGTTTGAGGCCGAGTCGACCTAGGGGAGGCCCAGGACCGGTTAAAATAATCGCCACCGGTGGTGGCCGTGAGCGGGAATCGAACTCGGGTCGCCGGGTTCGTAGCGCGGCGTAGCGCTAACCACTACACTACAATGCGTTACGCTTCCACGTGCGCGGGTCACGTGACAGATTTAACGTCACAGCTCATTTTTCGTGCAAAACTACCTTGCCTGGTATACAAAAAAAAAGTGTATTTTTAGAATTTTTGCATGGTGTACAGTCTGGAAAGTTTGTTGCGTGTCGGGAAGTACGCTAAACATTTTGAACAGACACACATAATCACAACTTTGTCTTTCATATATATGGAGATTACACTGAAAAAAAAAACATCTTCACCCCAGTGCACGCGTCAGGATCGGGGATCGAAGACACCCACCAGAGCGAAAAACAATGTACGACTTGCCTTACATTGTGCGTGTAAACGAGGCTGTGGATTGGTGCCCCTAATCTGTGAGAGACCACGTGGGGAGAGAGAGAGAGAGAGGCCTGGAAGGGGATTGGCTGGAGACTTGAGAATTTGAAGGCGATTGGAGGGGAAAAGGGCGGGAAACGACGGGCTTCGACTGACAGGAGGGCGGCTGAGAACCGTTGGGGAAGGGTGGGCGTGGATTGGCTGCGGAAAGTCGAGCGAGGGGACCTTCGAGAAAAGGGGGGGGGGTGGGAGGGGGCGCTCCAGGGATGTAAGAAGGGGGGGAAGCGCGAGGCGAGGGCACGCTTGGAGAGAAGACTTGGGCTGCGCTTGAGGGGAGTGTCCACGTTCACGACGATGGCTCGTGCGCCTGTCATTCACGCCGGGCGGAAAGATCCTCGGTGGCTCTGCCGCGATAAGTCGACATATTTTGTTGTTGTTGGTGGTGGTTTTCCTTCCCACCCCCCCCCCCCCCCCCCCCCACCAATGATGCCGCGTGCCGTTGGCGTGATTAAATACTTTGACGGTTGCTAATTGGGAGTTGGTACGGGGGAAAACATCGGGCATCCGTCGGACTCGTATGCTGGCCTCTTAACAGCTGATCGTGAGACGTGCATCGTTGGTCTCCGGGTGTCGAATCAAAGTGAGCTTGCAAGGGACGCCGGGCACGTCTCCAGCGTTGCCGTGAGGCTCGCAAACGCTCAACGCCGCACAGCTGTTCCGAGCCCCCCTTCGCAATCTGTCGACGTGTGTGTGTGTGTTTTTGTGCGCAAACGTATAGGACACGTGCGTGTCTGCGTCACAAGGGTCGTGTGTGTGTGTTTGTGCCCAGACGTATGGACACGTGGGTGTCTGCGTCACAAAGGTCGTGTGTGTTTGTGCCCAGACGTATAGGACACGTGGGTGTCTACGTCACAAAGGTCGTGTGTGTTTGTGCCCAGACGTATAGGACACGTGCGTGTCTGCGTCACAAGGGTCGTGTGTGTGTGTGTGCGTGCGTGTGGCGTGTCTTTGTGTAGCGTTGCGGTCAGCGCTACGCTGCGCTACGAAACCCGGCGACCCGAGTTCGATCCGCGCTCACGGCCAACACCGGTGACGATTATCTGAACCGGTCCTGGGCCTCCCCTAGGTCGACTCAGCCTCAAATGAGTACCTGGTGCAGTGCGAAAACATTACCAAAGGCGGCCGGGCGTGGTGTTGGACACCCACCCCCTCGTGTGCCGTGCCGGCCTTCATAGGTGCCAACCGCTTACAGCACTTGCCCCAGCAGTCCGTTGAGGCTACACGGGGGGGGGTCTTTGTATTCGTCTTGTGTTTAGTGAAGAGGCTAGCACGCTGCTCTACGAACACGGTGAAACGACCTTCGATTCCCGCTCACGGCCTACGCCAGTGACGATTTTTATCCGAACCGGTCCTGGGCCTTCCCTAGGTCGACTCGGCATCAAACGAGCACCCCGGGTCCAGTAAACCTCGCCACCGGGCAGACAAAGGCGGCCCGAGGCGTGGCGTCAGACACCCACATCGCCCCCCCCCCTCCCACCGTCCCGGCCGTCACATGTTCCGCCACTCGCCCCCAAGCAGTCTGCCGGAAGGGCTTGACGCGAGCGATTCCTCGGTCTCTTCGCAGCGTCGCCCACGGAGGCGGAGGCCTTTGTGGATGCGCACGTTCTCGACAAGGTGCTGGTGAGCGGCGGCGTCGTGCGCGGAGTCAACAACCAGCAGACCTCCCTGCTGGGACTCAAGCTCGACATCAACCAGGTGAGGCCGGCACTGGCGGGGGGGCGGGGGGTGGCACGGGATCGAACCCACGACCTCCTGCGTACCAGGCGAGGTAGTTAACATCTCCTAGCCACCGTGATGATGATGAGAGAGAGAGAGGGAGAGACACGCAAAATCCAAATGTACAGCAGGCATCGTCAGGGTCGGGATCAAACTCACGACTTCCTGTATACTAGGCGAGGTAGTTAACATCTCCTAGCCACCGTGATGATGATGAGAGAGAGACACACACAAACTCCAAATATACAGCAGGCATCAGGGTTGGGATCGAACCCACGACCTCCTGCATACCAGGCACGACAGCTGAGCCTTCCCAGCTCGTTCCGGTAAGTTTCTGTAGCAGGGCGTTACTCTTGATTTGGTCTTTTCGCAGACGTCTCTTTTTACGTGGGGCTTTTGAAGGTCCGGCTCCTGTCCACGATAACCCCATGGACATCTGTGAGTGGGGGGTCATCTCGCGCTTTGGCCTAGCGCCGTGTTAAGAGACGTGGAGGGCGAGTAAACCCACTAGGGCAGTCGGTGCGGTCACACAGAGCGACGTTGGAGACGGGGAGGGAGGATGGAGGGAGGAGGGATGGAGGAGGGATGGAGGATGGAGGGAGGGAGGGAGGATGGAGGGAGGGAGGGAGGGAGGGAGGGAGGGAGGGAGGGAGGGAGGGAGGGAGGGAGGGAGGGAGGGAGGAGGGATGGAGGGAGAGAGGAATGGAGGAGGGAGGGATGGAGGAGGGAGGGAGGATGGAGGGAGGCGGCAGCTCAGTTCCGGACCCGTCTCAGCCCACCTGCAGCTGCAAAGGGGAAGGCCGTCGCGCGTGACGGAGCCTCCCCCCCCCCCCCCCCGCCAGCGTGGGAGACGCCAGAGATGGATGAATCAATAAGCGGTTAATCTACCATTGTCTAATTTATGAAGTCTATAAAGGGGTGGGAAAATTACGTCTCGGGGTGTCTGCTCGGTGGTTGGAGCCCCTGGCTCTCTCCCTGTGTGTGTGTGTCCCAGGCACCCAGGTTCAATTCCTGCACGTGTTCACGTCCCGATAACAAGTCACGAATACAAAGTCCCGATTACCAAGTCCCGATTTCCATTTCCCGATTACCAAGTGGAAATTCGCATCGTGACTTGGCTTGCACCATCCCCCCTAAATCTAGTATTGAAAATCCCATTTCTTCACAACTACTTTTTCGCCTTGATTTGAAGCTTTCGTGACTGCATGAATCCATATTCGTTGGTTCTTTCGGTAAAGTCACGTAGTTGCTCTCTCTCTCTCTCCCCCCTTGCTCCTCCCGCTTTTCTTACAAATATAGCCTCTTGCCACGTCAACCCTCTCGCCCACTGCAGCTATTCGTTTCTTGCTGTGGTTGTCCCACCTGATGACGGGCGCTTGTTGTGTTGCGCCCGAAACGTCGTGATTTGTTTTATTCTCATTTCTAACTACGTGACTTTACCGAAAGAACCAAATAGTATTTTTTTGTCCACAACAAAGGCATCTGGGTTCGATCGCTGTAATTATAAATGCGTCGTAAAACCTCCAGAACCCCGACGCAGCCAGTGAGGTTCGTCACGTTAACAACGCGCCAATTAGTTACTCGTATAGTGTGTGTATATAGTGTAGTGTGTAATGTAGTGTATAGTGTAGTGTAATGTGTAATGTAGTGTATAGTGTAGTGTAGTGTGTAATGCAGTGTGTTGTGTAGTGCATAGTGTAGTGTAATGTAGTGTATAGTGTAGTGTGTAGTGTGTAATGTAGTGTGTTGTGTATAGTGTAGTGTATAATGTAGTGTATAGTGTAGTGTGTAATGCAGTGTGTTGTGTAGTCTATAGTGTAGTGTATAATGTAGTGTATAGTCTAGTGTGTAATGCAGTGTGTTGTGTAGTGTATAGTGTAGTGTATAATGTAGTGTATAGTGTAGTGTGTAATGCAGTGTGTTGTGTAGTGTATAGTGTAGTGTATAATGTAGTGTATAGTGTAGTGTAGTGTGTAATGCAGTGTGTTGTGTAGTGTATAATGTAGTGTATAGTGTAGTGTAGTGTGTAATGCAGTGTGTTGTGTTGTGTATAGTAGTGTATAGTGTAGTGTAGAGTGTATAGTAGTGTATAGTGTAATATACTAGTACAGCACACCGGTGTGTTGAAGAGTGAATCCACAACATTTACAATCTGAGTAGTACGACGTTTCGCTGGTAATTACATCCGGCATCATCGGGCGATTTGCCAGAATAGTGTTTTTGTGTTTAGGGGTCGTCCATAAATGACGTCACGCACCTTGGGGGGGGGGGGGGGGGGGGGTCAGACATTTGTGACGATGTGTGACGAGGGGGAACGGGGGGGGTTGAGAAATGTGACGTCACGTAAAAATGCGCAACTTTAAATAAATATAGAATTGTTATAACAGGTACAGGAACTTTGGTGAATAAGGAAACCACCTCAAAACTAACAAGCAGGTCGTCAGGGGACAGGGACATACCCTTGATTGTCGATACCAGGTGAGTAGAGTTTAGTACCGCAGAGGTGTTTTTTTCCAGTGAAAGACCGCAGGATTTCAGACAAAGACAATGCCACTATCAGAGTAATGAGAGCTCGGGGTGAGCATCTACTGTACATCATGTGACCTCCTTTGCCAGCACCAAAATATGATAAAAGGTTTTTCCCCTTTTTTCTGGCAACAAAATTGTCTTTGTGCTGTGTACGCCTTTTGGCGTCCTCTGGTCTAACACCGTTTGAGACGAGGCTCAAAAGAAAGCTGTCTCTGGTGTGAACCAATCAGTTTCAAAGACAATGCACCATATATTGTCAGAGTATGTTTTTTTAATTGCATTCTGACCACAAGTATTGTGGTTAATGCAGACATGATTCCTTGTAAAAGGTTTCCGTTTGGTATTTTAACATCATAACACAACTGTTTTATTGCCATAGAAAAAGGGGAAAAGCCTATTATCATATTTTGGTACTGGCAAAGGAGGTCCCATGACACAAATATAATTTTTTTTAAGTGATGTATTTACCTTTCCTATACTTCACACTCCTATCGTGCTTTTGTATTATTGGTCGTAACCTCGTGACCCCGTACCCCACCACCGAACACCTCTGAGAAAAGAGCTCGGCAGCTCATCGGATTCCTCCTCCAGTGTCAACACAAGCGCCGCTGAGGGTCGTTGTTTGACGTCGGCGTTGTCTTGGCAGAAAAACGGAGAGGTCTTCGTCGACGGGCAGAAGATCCTCGACGCCGACAAGATGACAACCAACGGGGTCGTTCACAAGCTGGACGTGCTGCTGCCCTCCGGTGAGTCGCGCTGCCGCGGTGCCACGCGGCCCGGGAACGCCGGCGTGCCGTGCGTGTCTTACGGGGGAACGCCGGCGTGCCGTGCGTGTCTTACGGGGGAACGCCGGCGTGCCGTGCGTGTCTTACGGGGGAACGCCGGCGTGCCGTGCGTGTCTTACGGGGGAACGCCGGCGTGCCGTGCGTGTCTTACGGGGGAACGCCGGCGTGCCGTGCGTGTCTTACGGGGGAACGCCGGCGCGCCGTGCGTGTCTTACGGGGGAACGCCGGCGTGCCGTGCGTGTCTTACGGGGACGCCGGCGTGCCGTGCGTGTCTTACAGGAACGCCGGCGTGCCGTGCGTGTCTTACGGGGGAACTGAGTTGATGTTCCCCCGCACAAAGTGGTACTCGTTTTATCGACCCCCCCCCCCCGAGGCATGATTAGTTGGGTCAACCTCCCAAGCAAGTTGATCCGTAAGGCAACCACTGTTGATCTTCCCCCGCACAAAGTGGTACTCGTTTTATCGACCCCCCCCGAGACATGATGAGTTGGGTCAACCGCTCCAACATGGAATTGAACTCGCAACCTTTCCCAGAACGAGCCGCTCGCTCGTTAAGCAGTAAAAAATGAGACCATACATATTTTATTAATAAATATATACGCACATGTACACACACGTATAATTGGCATTCTGTGCTCTGATCAATGATACCCATGAATGATTTTACCCATTTACATTATTATTATTAGAAGCTGGCGTCTGAACCTGCACTGCTATCCAAACCTTGGAGCTTCCCGAGTGCAACTTGGCCTTAATTGAGAAACGCATCGCAGCGTGCGATCATCATCATCATCATCCCTCGTGTTGGCAACACCCCCCACCCCCCCAGCTCCCTGCCACCGCCACCACCACTCCCGCTGTGCCGCTCTTAATAGGTGCTCACCAACAAGGCGTTCTACAGGAGTCTTTGGGGATGCCATTGATTAGTTTCGTGTTGGCCTGTGATGCATGCCGTGGATGGTAATGGCATTACGAGTCCTCGGAGTGCCGTTGAGCGCTTGCAACGCTCCTTAAGTCCCCTCTTGTGCCTGCTGCCTTCAATTCGGCGCGTGGTGACGCACGCGTTGGGAGAGTCCGCCGTGGACGCCAAACGCTGCACGTGCCGAACGCGTGCCAAAAAATGTTTTGCCGTGCAGGTTGGTCCAGATATCCTGTGACCCCCCCCCCCCCCCCACCACCACCACCACCCCCTCAAAATTAAATTGACCCCAATTTATTTTTCCCTCTTTTTGCATGTTTTTAATCATTTATATTTTAAATATAAATGAGAGACATCTGGACCATCGTGTAGACCAGGGGTGGGGATCGTCCGGCCCACGGGTCGTGTGAGGCCCCCCGAAATTATTTGATCTCTGGGCCTGCCAAGGAAACCGCAGGCGGGACTCGAAACTCAACAAATTTTGGAGAGCAAAAACCTGGAGAAGCAGTTGCGAGTAGCGGCAAACATCGTCAACACCGGCTAACATCGTCACCACGCCTCGCCAAAGAGAAGCAGGTCCAGCCCCATCGCATTAGGGGCGAGTTCATTAAACGTTTGGCCAAGTAAAACGGGGCTAATTTTTAAGTTGATAATTTTGTATGGCCCGCCTAATGATGTTACATAAATATCCAAATGGCCCTTGGTAGAAGAAAGGTTCCCCATGCCTGGTGTAGACCGTGGTGTGTGTGTGTGTGTCGCAGCCTGTATTTGGAGCGGTGGTGCAGCGATTAGGGGCACTGCGCTACGAACCCGACCTGCCCGAGTTCGATTCCCGCTTACAGCCACCGACACAGGTCCTGGGCCTCCCCCTAGGTCGACTCGGCCTCAAATGATGTTCCTGGTGCGGTGTGTTAAAATATTGTCACGAGGGAGACAAAGGCGGCCGGGCGTGGTGTTGCCCACCAACCCCCCTGCTCGCTAACAGCACTTCCCCCTACAGTCTGTTAAGGCTTTACGGGGGGGACCTTCGTCTTTGTATGTACGTGACATTGCTGAACTTCTTTCGCACCATATGTGGCCGACCGTGGTAATCGTCGTGCAGGGATGTATGTTTGTATCATCATGGTACCTCCCTTGCCAGTATCAAAACATAAGAGGTAGCTGCTCACCACCAGCTCTCAATGTCCTGATAGTGGCAATTGTCCTGGCGCTGTTCGCCTTTTGGCGTTGTCCTCTGGTCTAGCATTGTTCGAGACTAGACTCTAAAGCAGGGGTTCCCAAACCCCGGGCCGCGGACCGGTAACCGGTCCGTGGCCCGTTAGGAACCGGGCCGCACAGCAGGAGGTGAGAGCTGTGAGTCCACGCGTGGCCCGCCCATTATTTTATTATTGACCACTTCCATCCACGCCTCTTTCCCGCACTGTGCAACTCGTCTCAGCCACGTGATGTTGGTAAGCCCACAAGCTCTAACCCCCTAGTAGCCACAATGAGTTAAAAAAATAAACGTGGCAGGAGAGCTTCTTGGGAAAGGGGGAAAGACCCAATGATGAACCTCCCCCCCCCTTCACCCGGTCCGTGAAAAAAATGTCTTCCACGAAACCGGTCCCTACTCTAAAGAAAGCCGTCTCTGGTGTGGACCACTCAGTTTCAAAGACAATGCATCCATCATACATTACCAGCGCGATGTTTTTGGTTTGCACGATCACCACGAGTGTATGCGGTTAACGCAGACAGGATTCCATGAAAAAAGGTTCCCGTTTGGTGTTTTAACATCACAACACAACCGTTTCATTGCCAGAAAGAGCAACGCCTATTCTTGGGTTGCATGTGTGTATGTCTGTACGTTCTACATGCGGAAAAAAAGGAACGCGTTGCGTGTGAGCACGGAGAGACATCACTTTGACTGTCAAGAAAAGTCGGCGGGGCCCCGGGAAAGCATCGGCGCTGCTTGGAGGAGTGACGGTTCATTGGCGAACAGAGCGGATTGTTCCATCGCGTGGCTTGCGGTGGATTGTACGCGCGGTGGGGAAGGACGAGAAGCTAAACGCAAGCAGCTGACCATCGAGCAAAGGCGGCGGTCACCGCGTCGTCGCGCGGCGCTTCGAGATGCCCTTCCGCGGCCGTCTGGAACGCTCTTCCTTCCCGATATCGGGAAGCCCCCGGGAGCGATGCACTTTTCAATCGTCGTCGAGATTGCAATCTCACTGCCTGTTTGTGCGTTTGTTTCGCTGCGCTCCCACCGCCGCCCGCGCGCCTCCGATTAGCACGGTCGGCTACGCACGGTGGCGGAAGATGTTCAACGCGCGGTACAGGGAAACCCCAGGAGTGGGATAGTCATCCGTCCCCTTGGTCACTTCCTCGAGGGAGAAGGTCAGAGGTATCCGGGATCGCGGTTGAGAGTGGGCGAAGGTCGGTGCAGAATGCCTCCAATTAAGATGTTTGTTGTTGTTCCTGCTGCTGCTGCACAGAGCAAACTGTTTGTCACAATTCGACACGCACAAGCGCAGGGCTCAGTCGGGGAATGCGCACGCGCGCACGCGTATCCACATGCGTGTGCATGTGTGTTCGCGCTTGTGCACGTATCTGCATACGCGCGCATGCGTGTGCGTGTGTGCGTGTGTGCGTGTGCTCGCGGATCCGCATGCGTGTGCATGTGTACCCGCGCGCGCGCGTATGCAGATGCATACGCGCGCGTGCGTGCCTGTGCACTTGCCCCAAACAGTCGGTTGCAAAAACCAAGGCTACGTGGGGGATCTTTGTCTTTGTCCGTGCGCCAGGAGCCGCCGTGCTCAGTGGAAGCGAGCCGCTGCCTGCTGCTTGGAAGCCAACGCCTCCCAGGCCCGGGAAACACAAGAAGCCTGCACCACCCGTAGGTTTGGGGGGGGTGGGTGGGGTGGGTGGGTTGGGTGGGTTGGATGGATGGGTGGGTGGGGTGGGTGTTGTGGATGGGTGGGGTGGGTGGGGTGGGTGGGGTGGGTGAGTTGGGTGGGGTGGGTGGGTGGTGTGGGTGAGGTGGGTGGGGTGGGTGTTGTGGATGGGTGGGGTGGGTAGGTGGGTGGGTGGGTGGGGTGGGAGGGAGTGTGGGTGGGAGTGTGGGTGGGAGTGTGGGTGGGAGTGTGGGGTGGATGGGTAGGTGGGTGGATGGGGTGGGAGGGAGTGTGGGTGGGAGTGTGGGTGGGAGTGTGGGTGGGAGTGTGGGGTAGATGGGTAGGTGGGTGGATGGGGTGGGAGGGAGTGTGGGTGGGAGTCTGGGTGGGAGTGTGTGTGGGGTGGGTGGGGTAGGTGGGTGCGGTGGGAGTGTGGGTGTGTGGGGTGGGTGGAGTAGGTGGGTGTGTGGGGTAGGTGGGTGGGTGGAGTAGGTGGGTGTGTGGGGTAGGTGGGTGGGTGGAGTAGGTGGGTGTGTGGGGTAGGTGGTTGGGTGGAGTAGGTGGGTGTGTGGGGTAGGTGGGTGGGTGGAGTAGGTGGGTGTGTGGGGTGTGTGGGGTGTGTGGAGGCCTTCCATACACAGGCGGACCTCTCTGACTGTAACCGCATTCAGCATCCACAGGCCAGGCCTAGAATGCGAGTGGGGGGCAGCTTGGCATAATGACTTATTAACGTTTGGGGGTTTGTGGATTATTATAATTTTTGTTTTTCTCTATCTCTCTCTGTATCTTGCTCGTTCTTTCTTCCGTTGAAGTTGGTTCACAATCAAGAGGGTCAGAATCAGTAGGATCGATGCTTTCGCGCTGGAATATAAAACTTCAGCAGACAGAGATGATGGTTTTGGGGGGGGGGGGGGGGGGGGGGGTAAGAAGAGGAATCTTAAAATCGATTCTGTCGCACTGTTACCGTGAAAGCCAATGCGGGGGGAGACGGAGCGATACGGTCACACGATGTGGAAAGGTCGAAGCGGCGACACTTTGACCTTTTCACCTTTGCCTTGCAAGGGTGATGCATCTCAAAGTGTCCTTCACCGCGTGGAAACGGTGAGCGTCAAAACATCAAAAAAATCAAAAATCAACGGATCGTTTCATTTAAACATCGCACGTCTTCGCCAGCAGCCTCGTCGTCGTCTTTATCCGCAAATAATTGCCGGGCGTTTGTTTCTCCTGCGGATTTATTGGAGTCCTCTAATCGCCCCCACGATCGTGGTGCCTTTTGCACGTGCGAGGCGGTACCAAGGGAATGCCTTTTGCCTGTTAGAGAGAAAGAACACTCAAAAAATCAATACGGATAAATGACGTCACGCACCTGGGGTGGGGGTGGCGGTCAGACATTTGTGACGAAGTGTGATGACGGGGGGTGGGGGGGGTGTTTGAGAAATGTGACGTCACACCGGTCTCGTCTTCACCGCAGTGCATCGCGCGGCTCTGTAAATATTCCACGTTAAAATAAATAAATAAATACGCGTCTGTGCCAGATTCGACAAAAATTGGCCCTCTTATTAACGTGGTTTTGCCAGGCCCCCCCCCCTCCCCCCGTTGCACGAGCCATCAGTGAGCCATCACCGTGCCACTGAGTTCATGAAAGGTTGAAGGGGGTGACGTAAACTCCGGCTCTCTTTTGTTACTCTAAGGCAGGGATGGGGAACGTCCGGCCCCGCGGCCCCGATTAGGCCCCGCGAAATAAGTTGGTCTCTGGGCCCTGCCAAGGCCACCGCAGGCGGGACTCGAAATTCAATAAATCTAGGAGAGCAAAAACCTGGAGAAGCAGTTGCGAGTAGCGGCAAACATCGTCAACACCGGCTAACATCGTCACCATGCCTCGCTAAATAGAAGCGGTTCCAGCCCCATCGCATTAAGGGGCGAGTTCATTAAACGTTTGGCCAAGTAAAACGGGGCTAATCTTTAAGTTGATAATTTTGTACGGCCCGCGAATGATGTTACATGAATATCCAAATGGCCCTTGGCAGAACAAAAAGGTTGCCCACCCCTGCTCTAAGGCATTTCAATCTGCTGCTGAGAGTTCACCACCCACAAACTCCGATCGGCACGGTTGGCCAACACACGGTGCGACATAAGTTCAACATCCATGCGCAGACCGGATTCCAAAAAGCAGACTCGACGCATCCGCCGTGAACACCGCACGCGGCCTTGAATGGTCGAGCGATACAATAGGCGACGTTCAGGGCAACGGGCCTTCTTTCGAGCGCAAATAAGACCAGATCACCTGCCGCCCTAGATTTTTTTATTTTAGTTGACGTACAATTTTTTTTTTTTGGGGGGGGGGGGGATCTACCTGCCGCAGTGGTTACAGTTTTGCCCTCCCTCCGGCGATGTTGAAAGTGCAGCGGGTATCGCGTCGCCTCTCCGATTCGCTCCCCCTTGTTGAATTTTGTCGAGGCACAGAGACAGGCGTCACCGGTGATCAGCAGTCGACGAGAATCGGGTCAATAATCATCAATAAGTTTCGCCGTTTGGGGCTAACTCCGCTCCCGCACAAAACGAGCGCGGGTAACAACCGGCGGTAATTCAGCCGGGAGGCTGCGTACGGTATTTATGTCGGTGCCTTTGAAACGCATCGGCGTTAATTCCGATGTAATGACCTTGTTTTTGAATATGCATTCGAAAATAATATTGGGGAAAGTTTAAATAACGTTTGCAATGCATTTTTTTATTGGGCATTACTTATTCACGTCACGTGGGAGATTATACGGCGAGCTTGGCGCCGTGTATTTTTCATGTTATTTTACAGCGACATAAAATATATAATCGCAATGCGATGTTCATTCCATCTCGAAATCAATCATCAAGAAAACTGTCGGCTACAAACTCGGATGCTTTCACATTTAACCTCCGCAGAGATTCTTAGTGAAACATATTGGCACGTCACGTGCCTTAAAAACAGATATCGCTCGCCACTGATATTAGCCGGTGCCGGGAAGATAATCGGCTCCAATTGGCACAGTTGGCTAAGTACGGTGTCAAAAGAAATCCAACGTACGCACATATATTGACTCACGCAGAGACCCATAGACTCCCACAGATACCCATAGATTCACACAGAGGACCCGTAGACTCACGCAGAGACCCATAAACTCACACAGAGACCCAGAGACTCACACAGAGACCCATAGACTCACACAGAGACACATAGACTCACACAGAGACCCATAGACTCACACAGAGACGCATAGACTCACACAGCCCACAGACTCACACAGAGACCCATAGGATCACACAGAGACCCATAGACTCACACAGAGACCCGTAGACTCACACAGAGATGCATAGACTCACACAGAGACCCATAGACTCACCCAGAGACCCATAGACTCACACAGAGACGCATAGACTCACACAGCCCACAGACTCACACAGAGACCCATAGGATCACACAGAGACCCATAGACTCACACAGAGGACCCGTAGACTCACACAGAGATCTATGGACTCACACAGAGACCCATAGACTCACACAGAGACAGATAGACTCGCACAGAGATGCATAGACTCACACAGAGACACATAGACTCACACAGAGACCCATACACTCACACAGAGACCCATAGACTCACACAGAGACCCACAGCCTCACACAGAGACCCATAGACTCACACAGAGACCCATAGACTCACGCAGAGACCCACAGACTCACACATAGACCAGTAACCTCACACAGAGACCCACAGCCTCACACACAGAGACCCACAGCCTCACACAGAGACCCATAGACTCACAAAGAGACACATAGTTTGCCTGTCCTTCCCCCACACCTACGATTAGCAGGGTTGGCTACGTACGGTGCGAACGAAGTTCAGCGTACACGCGCAAACGTTGCAAATTAAAAAAAAACCCCAACAATGCAAGACAAAATTCCAACGGCCTCCTCCGCTCCAACACTGACCGGCTTCGTATAAATATTCCTCGGCCTGACGTGCCGCTCGTAAATTGCGTAAAAAAGCGATCGCGTGGACGCGGCAGCGCCGGGCGGACGCGCAAGACGCCTCCAGCCCACTTCAACACAAAGACAAAGATCCCCCATATAGCCTGTAACAGACTGTAGGGGCAAGTGCTGTTAGCGAGCACCTATGAAGGCCGGAACGGTACACGAGGGGGCGGGTGGCCAGCACCACGCCCGACCGCCTTTGTCTCCCTAGTGGCGATGTTTTACACATCGCAGCAGGTACTCATTTTGAGGCTGAGTCGACCTAGGGGAGGCCCGGGACCGGTTCAGATAATCGTCACTGGTGTTGGCCGTGAGCGGGAATCGAACCCGGGTCGCCAGGTTCATAGCGCAGCGTAGCGCTAACCGCTCCACTACCGCTCCTCAACACACGACGCCCGGCACGTGCACATGCGGAAACTCGCCACTCGGGATGCCACCCGTTCCGTATTTCTGCCGGACGCGTCAAGGGGCCGGTCCATACATGACGTCACGCACCTGGGGGGGGGGGCGGGGTCAGAGATTTGTGACGATGTGTGACGAGGGGCGGGGGAGGGGGGTTTGAGAAATGTGACGTCACATCAAAATGCGCAACTCTAAATAAATATAGACACAACACGTTCTACTTAATTAAATAGACTTTTTAATAAATGTTTTCTCCTACAACATCAGAGTGCAGCGCCACATTAAATACGCACTACTACAATGACAATACATTTTGATTTCAAATTTTCTGGCTGTGGTTTTCACACCGGATGATGATTGCTTGTGTTTCAGTCGAAACGTCGTGAGAATTTTATTGTTTTATTTGTTCTTATTATTTTATTGTTTCCCTTCCACGTGACTTTACCGAAAGAACCAAGAATACAATGAACAATAGTTTAAAGCTATTTGAAGCATGTTTTATTTTCAAATTGGAAATGTTTTTTTTTTGGGGGGGGGGCAGATCTTTGTGACGTCATATTTGAGGAGGGGGAGGGGTCTGACTTTTTGTGACGATGT